CTTCTTATTCCGTGTTTGGCTGTGTGGCTGGGTTGCTTGACACCTGCCTTCTAATTTTTCTTGTTCCTCCTTTTCTTTCCTTCTATTTATTCTTTCTGTATGCCAACCTCACCTATTTCTCTCTCCTACCTAGCTCAGCTCTTATATTACAGAAATCAGGTATTTTAAACAGGCACAATAATACAGTTTTACAGAGTTAAACAAAAGCAACATAAAACAATGCAACATATCTTTGCATCATTAAACAAATATTCCACAACACAGACTGATAAAGAAAACTAATTCTCTCTTCCCTAGAAGCCACCAGCTGCAAATAGCTTCTTAATTATGGAAAGAGCATCCTGAGTTTCTCCTACCTCCACAATAGATTGTTCATGTTCACCAGTAGCACCTCATTTCTTTTCTTCACTGCAACAACTTAGTGTTAGCCATCATCCTTGCCTCTATTTGTTTCCTACAATCTATTAAAATGTTTAACACTTTTAATTTTCCCTTTTACAATTTTAACTTCCTAAAATGTCTAGGGTCTCTCATCTGAGGGCTTTTGAAAAACAAAAATTAAGTTAAATACTTCTTATCCCAGGAAGAAATAACCTGAGCACAGTTATAATCCAGTCAAGAGAAACCAACATCTAAAAGTTTCAATAGTTCCATATACAACATCTGGAATACATTCATGATATTTTGATCTCTAAAAAGTTTTGGTGGCTCCACTTTTCTGGCTTTGCAATCCACAGCATAGACTGTTTGTATCATACGCTCAGGATGGCTCCACTTGACACCTGCTTCTGCCTTTTGCAGTCCCCTCCAAATTCTGGAGTCTTCAATACACTAGGGTACTGCAACTAAAGCTGCATTACCAATGTCCTATCCTAGCCTATTTGAGGAATCCAATTTTGACACACAGTGTCCTGTCTCACCTACTCTTTATGAGCCCTTCCATCCTGAAGCTTCCATATGTCTAAAACAACACCACATGGGTGCTTCTCACACATTATCAAATCCAACTGTGAGCGGGAAACAGCATTTGTCCCCTGTGTACCACAGCTTTCATGTCCTAAACTACAAGAAATGTTCCCCAGAAGATTTTGCTGTAATGATGATAGTCTTTTATAAATGACAGTTGATTTTTCAGCCCCAAACAACCAACATCTATTGTCCCATTAAAGCAAAGGTTTTACTAAAATAGCATTCATCTCTTCTTAATCACAACTGGTTCTTCAGCTCTAATAAGATTAAAAACCACATTAAGTCAAATTACTTTGCTTAACTTAAAATACCACATGAACAGTACAAATCGAGATTTTGCTTCTCCCTGAAAATTCTTCATCTGTACCTCTGTCAACACTTTCATCTCCTAACCTCTCCTAAGAGCTTAATAATTTCTGATTTCTCAGTGGTCACCTTCTAACCCAAAGTTCCAAAACCCTTCCACAATCCTCCCCAAAACAACATGGTCAGACCTGTCACAGCAATATCCCATTCCTGCTACCAATTTATGCCCCAATTTTATTTCTGTTACTGTTTAAAACACTAAACAATGCCAACTTTTGAAGGAAGAGATTTGTTTCATCTTACAACTGCCAGACAACAACTCATTGCTGATGAAAGTTAGACCAAAAGTTCAAGGCAAGAACTTGGAGGCAGGAACTGAAGGAGACACCATGAGGAAGACTACTTGCTGTCTTGTTCTCCATTGCTTGTTCAGCCTCACACATCAATTATTAATCATGACTATGCTCCACTCGACAAGATGACATCTTCTCTTGTTTAAAGTTCACTACAACTAACCACCACAGGATAGTAAACTGAGATTTCTGGTGTTCTTCATGATTCTACCCCATGGGCAAAAGCTAAAAAAAATGTTTAAACTCACTGCAAGTCCAGATTTATTCTGAATAATCTGTATTTGAAATATTTACAGACTGGCTGGGTATAAAGTGATTTTTGTAAATTATTGTTATTTTGAGAACACAGGATATTCTAAACATGTTAAATAAAGGTAGTAGAGAAAATCCTACTTATCTGTACCATTATTTGACAATTCTAATTAATTGCTTCATAGTAACTCGCTGAAAAGTTTGAAAACAGGAAGCTGCTAGTAATATTCACAGTAGTGAAGATGTACAATCTGTTCTATATACATGTTGCATATGTTTAACAGTGGTTAAGTGGTACCTTGAGGGGTTTGTTTGTTTAGGCTATATGTCAAACTCTGAACTGACAAGTTGGATCTGCTCAGTGAAATGTTACAGTTAGAAAATTATCCATCCTTCTAAGGCTTATTTCATCTTCATACTCATCTTTCCTAGTCTCTCTTTGCATTAATCACGTTTGTGATTTAAGCATTAACAACACAAGCTCATGTTTCACAGGAGCATAAATCAAGAAGGTCCATACATATACACTTTTGAACACAAGTTGCAGCAAAAATTGAAAATTTCTCTAACACATACTTGAAAAATGATACTGTGAGCGTGCAAACCACACACAAGGAAAATCGATTATAGTCCTTGAACAATGTAGGCAGAATGAAATGGAAGTCATTTCAATTAGGATATAAGAAAACAAAATCTATTACCAACACATGAATTTGGAAAGAGGAAGTTCCAAGGAGAAAATTTAGTCAGAGAAATGTCCTAGTTTAAAAATAATGTGGGGCATATAAAGTGTAAATGTGAGAGTTGAAATATAGGGAGATGGGCTACAAAATGCCATTTCTTGGGTAAGGCACAATTATTGGAATAAAAACTCATAGCAGTTGTGAATTCCTGCACTATGTCTGGACAGGACTGGACCCATTAACAATCTGGCATGAACAAACTCAGAGGGCCTTGTTCCTTAGTGCTGAAGTATTTGTTACAGAGATTCATGAAAAGTAGGAATCAGTATTATTTATTTATTTTTACAGTGTTTAAAATGTTTAATTTAATTTAGAAACAATCTTATTTCACATACCAATCCCAGTTTCCTCTCCCTCCCATCCTCCTATGCCCCTCACCGACACCCTCATAAACAATCCAGGGAGGGTGAGGCCTTCCATGGGAGATCACTAAAGTCTGTCACATCATTTGGGGGAGGACCTAAGCCCTCGTTCATGTATCTGAGCTGAGAGAGTATTCCCCTATGTGTAATGGGCTCTCAAAGTCCATTTGTACACAAGGGATAAATACTGGTTCCACTGACAGAAATCCCATAGACTACCCAGTCCTCCTAACTGGCACCCACATTCAGAGGGCTTAGTTAGGTCCAAGACTGATTCTCCAGCTTTACAACTGGATTCCCTGTGCTCTGACTTGGTAAGGTAAGCTATTTCTGTGGATTTCCCCAGCATGGTCTTGAACCCCTTGCTCATCCCTCCTCCCTCTCTGCAACTGGATTACAGGAGTTTGGCTCAGTGCTTCCATCAGCTACTGGATGAAGGCTCTAGTATGGTGTATGAAATAGTAATCAATCTCATTACAGGGAAAAAGCATTTAAGGTAGACTCTCCGATATTGCTTGGATTTCTTGTTGGGGTCATCCTTGTAAATCTCTGGACATTTCTCTCATGCCAGATTTCTCTTTAAGCCTATAATGCCTCCCTCTATTATGGCATCTCTTTTCTTGCTCTCCTGCATTCTTCCCCTGACTCAATATTCCTGCTCCCTCATGTTTTCCTTCCTCTCCACTTCTCTCCTTCTTGTTTTACTACCTCCATCTGCGCTCCTCCCCCATGCTCCCAATTTGCTCAGGAGCTCTTGTCGCAGTAATTTTAATTGTGCATTCACTAAAAACTCTACCATAATCAAAGCGACAATTGCAATGTTAGGGTCACCATGATTACCTTGATTAAACCAAAAGGATCATAAAGTAATTAAAATCCATGACTATAGGAAAGGAACTGATGAGGAGAAGGGGAATTAGTAGGAATAAAAGGGAGGTAGAGAAGGTAGAAGGACATAGTAGTCAGACTACATTATAAATATGTATGAAAATATCAATATTGATAATATTGCCTTCCTTATTTATGCAAACAAACCTTTAAGACATATGCATTTTCCTTTCCACCATATGAGGAGAGAAGGAAATTTCAACTCATGAGGGATGTCCTGCTGTATGCTGTGAATACATTTCTCTTATTGGTTGATGAGTAAATGCTGATTGACCAGTAGCCAGGCAGGAAATAGGGGAGGGACTACCAGAATAGGAAAAGCCTGGGAAAAGGAAGGTAGAGAGTGAGTCACCAGACTTTTAAAAGGGAGATTTTGGAGTCCTACAGAGAATTTGGTATTTAAAAAGAGACTGGTTAATTTAGGGAAAAGTTTTAAAGTGTTTCTATTTGTAGGCCATGGGGCTTCTTAAGTTTATAAACTGTTGTATTTTAGGATGCTTTTATTAATGCATAACCTTAAGGCTTACCAAGAAAGGAAACATTGTGACTTAACAGTGATGTGTTTGTGTGTCAAGTTGAAAACGGGTCATTTGTGCTTGCTAGTTTTATATCAACTTGATACAGTCTATAATCATCTGAGAGGAGGGAACCTAGATTGAGAAAATGCCTCCATAAGGGCTGTTGGCAAGGCTATAGGGGATTTTCTTAGCGATCAATGAAGGAAGGTCTAGTCCATGGTTGGTGGGGTAATTTGTGATCTTGTTTCACCAGAGAATGCCTAGGTGTCCTACCTTGCCAGTAGCTACATGGCATCTCTCAGAGTAGTCGGTTCTATACTAGAATTTCCTGCAAGTGTAAGTGTCCACATCTGAGTGACTGGATTCATAGAAAACTCTACTTTCCGTACTCAGGGGAAATGTTCAATTATAATCTGTTCCTGCAAGTGTTGCCTAGCTCTCTGAAAGGGAGCACAGTGCTGATCATTTTCTGATTGTACAGTGTGAACCTTAGTTTGTCTTGATCTTTGATCTTAATCCAAGCAATAAAAGGCACACTTTTCTCTACAGTTTCTCCAAACATAATCAGGATTGTGTTGGTGCCAATACCATCAAAAGAATACTAAATCTATGTTGTAAGATATAAAAAATGTTTTGCACTACCTCTATGAAGAGTGGAAGAGGTGTGTGCCCAACAGCATACGTATGGCTAAAGTCCTGCCACCTGCTTTGTGGCATTGAATTACAGATTTATTTAGGCTTATTATTGTTATAATGAATCACCAGAACAAAAGCAATTTAAGGAAGAAAGAATTTATTTGGTTTACATTATAAAATATTATGTTCTCAAAAAAGAAATTAAAATTTAAAAATACATATTGTGCTTCTTTGAATGAGCATATACTTCATACCCTCCATAGGCTCATAGATTTGAAACTTGGTCACCTGGGAGTGGCCTTGTTTTGTAAGGGACCTTTATTGAAGGAAGTATGTCACTGGATGTGGGCTTTGAGGTTTCAGATAATCAAACCAGTCCCATTGTCACTTTCTATTCCTCCTGCCTTCAAATCCACATGTATAATTCTCAACCACTTCTCCAGCACCATGTCTGCCTGCATGCCTCCATGCTCCCTGATGTGAGGATAATGGATTAAACCTCTAAAAATATGAGTCAGTCCCAATTCAATGTTTTCCTTTATTAGCATTGCCATAAGCCTGGTGTCTTTTCAAAACAATCGAACACTAATTAATACATATATTCAAAAGGAGTTTTAAGCAAGAAAGCAAAACTCTTTTTAAGAAAATTTATTATGGAAATGGAAAGATAGATCAGTAGTTAAGAGAAATGACTCCAGTTCCATAAGTTCCAGGTCCAATTCTCACCACCCACATGGCTGCTCACAACTGTCTGTAATCCTGCCCCTTTAGATCTGACTTCAGACATGTACATAAGCAAAACATCCATATATATTAGATAATTTTTAAAAGAAAAATAAAATTATAACAAAGAAGTAAGTAATGGAATCCACAGTGTCCTAGTTCTTATGGTACTAAAATTGGCAAATGATGGTTTGCATGAGATAAAACAGAGCTTTAAAACTATCAACTTTCTTATGGGTTAAGCAATGAAAAATTGACTGCAAAAATTTGATTCACCATTCTAATCTCCTCTTTACAAAATCAAGACTATATTGTTTGTTTGTTTGGTTGGCTTGTTTTCTGAGCCAGGGTCTCAATATGTGCAATTTTGCCTTTAACTTACTATGTATGCTAGGTTGACATCAAACTTAGAATTTTCCTGTTTTGTCCTCTCAATTGCTGTAATTGTAGGTTTGTGCTAACAACCTTACCAAAACTAAGACTTTAAAGCCCTGTTTCCATTTTGGAGTGCACAAGTTATTTACTTTAAATTACATTTGCTATCAGGCTCGTGATACATATAGTGGACATTTCTAAACATTTCAGATACAGCTTACACAATTAAAAAGAATCAGAATCCTAGTCCTTGGTCAGAGAAATTCAGTATGGACTGAAAGCAAGGCAGCAGTACACATTCAGGCAGAAGATCAAGACAAATAGCTGGCTGCTGGCAGATATTAAATGGCAAATCAGCTTAATTCATAGCTAAGAATAAAGATGGCTATAAAAGCAAAAGCATATAAGCTGATTGGCTGTACTTTTACATGTTACAAAATGAAAGAAATGAAAGCACTTAGGCACCATAGACTTTGATTAATATCTGGAGTTCTGATAATTTTACTCAATGAATAATAATGGTTTCGATCATCACTACCTCTATACTTGCTTTTATTTTTGTTTTTAACATTGAAATATCCAGCCCCTGCCATGGAAGACGCTTAATATTGGCAATAACCCTTCAGCATCTGTTTGTTTCTGTGTGTGTGTGTGTGTGTGTGTGAGAGAGAGAGAGAGAGAGAGAGAGAGAGAGAGAGAGAGAGAGAGAGAGAGAGAGAGAGAGAGAGAGAGAATCAGAGTGAGGCTAGAGGTAGGGAGATAGAGAGGAAGGGAGAAAGAGAATGCAACACATCTGACTGTTTTGGCTGTCACAGTACTTCTGACTATACTACCCCAAGTACTATAAGTGTATCCACTCATAGTGTATCCCCAAGTGCTATGAGTGTGGCCAGAAGTATCTCTGCAACTCTTTCTTATTATAAGTATATCTATAGGATGACACTGAGAATTGGAAGTATTATTGCACATGTATCAGGATAGAACTTCTTTACCTTATTTTCTCTGTCCCCTTGGGGTAAAAAGTATAAATAAAGAAAAATTGTAAAGTCCTGGATTCCAGTTCCAATATTTATCCCTGCTTTAGGATTTGATCTGATTGTTCAGTAAACACTCATCTGAGCTAAGAACAAACATATCTGAGATTACCCACAGAATAAAGTATTGAAGCAAAGACATTCATCTGCTGTTAATCACCAAGTAGGGCTTTGTTTGTATGTGTGCATGTGATAGGTAGGTATGCACATATGTGTATATACATACATAAATTGTGGTTAACAAATTGCAGTAACTTATAGGTTATTCTTAGATAATAAGAATCAGGGTGACAATAAGGATAAATTACCTCTGTGCTCACTAGAAAAGAGGCTTATTTGGAATCTGTGAATATTGTTTCGCTTATGAACTGTGTCTCCTGTTACATACAGTTTAAATATATTTGATAGAGTGATAGAGGCAATTTTTGTTTCACACTTCATCACATCACATAAGGTCATGTGTGTGTGTGTGTGTGTGTGTGTGAGAGAGAGAGAGAGAGAGAGAGAGACAGAGACAGAGACAGAGACAGAGACAGAGACAGAGACAGAGAAAGAGAGAGGCACCACTACGTTCAATAGAACACAAATTTATTTTTGTTTTGTTATGGATATTTTGTTTAGTTTTAATTTAATTTGGGTGATTGCATTCATCTCTTGGAGTACTGAATTGTTATTATGACACAGGACACCTTGTATACCACAAGGTAGACTTTTTAAATTGAGAGACCAAGGAAAATGTAAAGTTTTATTTTAAGATAATAGTCACATTGTTCATTTGGAAAACAGTACCTTTCTGTGACATGCTAAACATTATTAAAATTCAACATTTAATTCTTTTCTACTTAAATCTATTTCCCCTTTGATATGAGGGTTTCACAGCAGAATATAGCCCAGTTTGAGCATTGTGTAGTAGTCATGGTTTTTAATGTGCTGGCTAAATAGAAGGTTTCCTTTTTATATCTTAGTGAATAGTTTCAGCTTCCTTATTGAATAGCTTTTGCTAACTATGCTATTTGTTCCTTTTGATTTTTTAGAAAATTTCCTAGTTTTAGTTTCCTAGAAAATAGTTCTCTGTCCTGGAAAAATGAATTTGGACTGATTAGTTGTTTTACTTATTGGACCTGTCATTTTGTCACAGGAATGAACAGTTTGCTGTGAAGTATGCATGGTGTTATGGAAGAAATAAAACCAATTGTGTGACAGACATTGGTATAACATGGTAGTTAGAACACTACATTAGATAGCAGAAAAGGGTTCTAGAACTGCCTTGTCCATTTACTGGATGTATAAAATAATTTTAGTAACTAAAATTTCATTAAATGTCAGTTTCTGATCTGCAAAATGAAATAAGATGCATTTAGTTCCTACCTGCCTCAAAGAATAATTGATAAAGCAATAGTTGTGCAATGTTTCTGCCATAGGTAACATTAAACATCATAATTGCCTTACCCAAAGGTATGTGAAACTTTGAGCAGGGTCAAATGAGTATGACTCACTTACTTTTAAAGTATATTAACCAATATATGTCATGTATGTCTTTGAGGTTCTGTGTGATAGTTCCACAGAGATTCAGGAGGCACGGAGTGAACCCAGTCTCCTTTATCTACCCACCTCCAACACACATGCTTTCACATCTCTTATCCTCAGTATTTTAGAAACAGGTTGACTTTGCTTTCATTTCTGTACTTCTAATGTTATAAACCCATCTACTTAGGAAATCATTTTTGCTGAAAAATCATTAATAAAGTGATTGGTATACAAGTAGTAGAAGATACAGCATTATGAAATTAGTAACTGGTTAATGATGCTTAATGTAGGTGTTTAGTCAATAGATGGGACTTGTTAGCACATTGCACGTAAAAGTGATAAAATAAAGCTACAAAACAACTAGTGGAGGAGGATAATAAATTAGCATGGCTGGATCATAAGATGTCAGTTCATGAGACTCCAAAAGTAAAAAGAAGTCAGGTTGTAGCAGATGTTCAACCTACACTAATAATCATAAAATTTCTTCTGTGAAATACTGATAATCTTGCATTTTTATTTAGAAACAATCATTTTACATATCAATCCCCCGTGTTCCCTCTCCCTCCCATTCTCCCATGTCCTCTAACAAACCCCCCAAGTTACTCCCCACCCACTACTCAAAGGCAGTGCAGCCTTGCATGGGGGATCATCAAAGCCTGTCACATCATTTGGAGGAGTATCTGGGCTGAAATAGTATCCCTCCATAGGGAATAGGCTCCAAAAGTCCATTTGTGCACTAGGGATAAATACTGGTTCCACTGTAAGAGGTCCCATAGACTTCCCAGGCCTCCTAACTGGCACCAGCATTCGGGGGGTATATGATTCAGTCGAATGCTGGTTCCCCAGATTTATGACTAGGGTACCTATGTTCTCACTATGTCAGGTCAGCTGGTTGTGTAGGTTTCTCCTGCAAGATCTTGACTCCTTTGCTCCTCCCTCCTCCCTCTACAACTGAATTCCAGGGATATGGCTCAGTGCTTATCTGTGGGTGCCTGCTTCTGCATCCATCAGTTACTGGATGAAGGCTCAAGTATGACAATTAAGGTAGTCATCAATCTCATTATAGGTGAAGGGCATCAAAGGCATCCTCTCCATAACTGCCTAGATTATTAGTTAGGGTCATCTTCTTAGATATCTGAACAGTTCCCTAGTGCCAGATTTCTCTATAAACCTATGCTGATTCCCTCTATTAAAGTATCTCTGTTCTTGCTCTTGTCTATTCCTTCCCTGTCTCAGTCTTCCTGATCCCTCTTGTTCTCTCCCCCCTACTTTTCTCCCCTTCTATTTTTTCTACCTCCCTTCATTCTGCATCCAGGGCTCCAAATTTCCTCAGGAGTTCTTGTCCCTTACCCCTTCTTCAGGGGACTATGTATTTTTCTCTTAGGGTTCTCCTTCTTATGTAGTTTCTCTGGTGGTGTGGATGGCAGGCTTGAAGTCC